TGGAAGGGCTTGACGAGAGAAACAGAATAAGCAGAGTGTCCTTATTTTAAATCGAATATGGCGGCCATCGCAAAATGGCGATGTAACTTTTTCATAGTCACCCTTGTGATATGGGTTTTAAATGAAAGGGCTTGATCAGAGAAACATAAAAAGCAACGTGGCGTCTTTCTAAATCCAATATGGCGTCTACCGTCAAATGACGATTTTTAGTTTTCATAGTTAACCCTATACTGTGAGAATCAAGTTAAAGGACTTGATGATGGAAACATAATGAATCAGTCCAAAGTTGAGGTACATGCCCTTGCGCAACTATAATGTATTGACACTTATCGGTCCATTATTTAGCTTAAACGGCTTTTTGCATTTGACAAAAACCTTCATCATTTCCAACAATTGTCTATAACATTAGGACTGTATGGAAACGTCGCACTTTAACATGTTTGCGTAGAAAAAAATTCATATGATATGTCAACATCTGTGAAACTGGCGGCTTGAGCGTGATCGATTTGTAGAAGACAAACAAACCATAAACTTGCTCTTTTTACCTAGTCTGAATTCGTTGGTTTGTATAGATTACGAAGTTCTCGGCCGACCAATTGTTATTTGATTGGTTTTTGGGTAGTTAGGTCATTGTAGAACATTTTTATTTCGCGTTTCTCCAACACGAGTGGTTGGCATCTTCAGAAGGTGTTCACAGTTCGGGAGTCCCGTGAGCTCATATTTACATGTGGCGGCTCGAGTGGTGGGGAGAGCTCTGTTGTTTTGACATTTGGATGACGCAATTTTTGTATTTTTTAATTCTGGTAGCCAGGTTTTGTGTACTTGCAGTGATTCCTCTGTTTTGTTAAAGTTGTCCCTGTGTTTGTGTATCTTTATAGCCTTCCTGTATAATCTTGCATGATATGCTGGTGTTAGCAATGACCTGGGCTTCTTCAAATTTTATGCGGTGGTCCGTTTTGGTGAGTGTTTGTTCGGCTACAGCAGATTTTTCTATTTAGCCCAGACAGCAGTTCGCTTTGTGCTCCTTAATTTTGGTATTCACTGATCGTTCTGTTGTTCCGGTGTAACACTTCCACAAGTACAAGTATTTTTGTCGTTAGTCTGTATATTGTTTTGACGTTCTCCTGGTGAAATAGATATCCAATTCTGTCTGTGACTCTGGGAATATATTCCAGAAATGCCTTGGCCACTGGTTGGTTGTTTTCTTTGGCTCTGGCATTACTAGATGTCATGGATTTTCTAATTTACAGCTCTGAGTATCCATTGACCATTAAGCTATTTTGTAGATGTTTAAGTTATAAATCCAGTTCTTCGGGTTCAAAGATTCTTGGACGAATTACTAACCCGCCCACCGAGACGACTGGGTATATAGAAAACAAACGCACACAGACCGTGTATGAACTCCAATCACCACCCTTGTCAGAAATATGGCATCATTAAAACACTAACAGAAAGAGCCAGGAGAATCTGTGAACCCGAAGAACTGGATTTAGAACTCAAACATCTAAAAAACAGCTTAATGGCCAATGGATACGCAGAGCTGGAAATTAGAAAATCCATGACATCAAGTAATGCCAGAGCCAAAGAAAACAACCAATCAGTGGCCAAAGCATTTCTGCCATAAATTCCTAGAGTCACAGACAGAACTGGACGTCTACTTCTTTAGGAGAACTTCAAAACGATATACAGACCAACGACAAATATAAGTGAAAGTCTGAGATTGGCAAATGATAAGAGAGACCCCCTGTCGTCTCCGGGAGTCTATTGCATAGCTTGTACTTGTCGAAGTGTGTACATCGGAACAACAAAGCGATCAGTGAATACCAGCACTAAAGAACACAAAACGAACTGCCGTTTGGGTTCAAATAGAAAAATCTTCTGTAGCCGAACATACACTCACCGAAACGGACCACCGCATTTAATTTGAAGAAGACCAGGTCATTGCTAACATACCAGCATATCATGCTAGATTATACAGGGAGGCTATAGAGATACAAAAATACAGGGGCAACTTTAACTAAACAGAGGAATCACTGAAAGTACACGAAACCTGGAGCTGCCAGTATGGAAAAACACAAAAATTGCGTCATCCAAATGGCCGAGTCATCCCAAGCGCGATGCCAGCCGCAGATTTCCGAAGAGCTCTCCTCACCACTCGAGCCGCCACATGTAAATATGATCCAAGACAGCGGAGATGTCAGTAGCTCACAGGACTATTAACTGTGAACACCTTCTGAAGATGCCAACCAGTCGTGTTGGCGGAACGTCAAACAAAAATATTTTAGGACCTCCTAACTACTTAAAAACCAACCAAATGACATTGGATGATGGCCGCGAAAGCCTTTCGCATTTTAGTAACCACATTGTTGTTAGTCCAATGGATAGTTCTAATAAATAATCTGACACCCCTCCCATCCATACCTCCAAATACCAAATTTCCACGATAATGAAACTCTACTACTCCCCAAGAGTCCTGCATATGCTACGTCTACCGCATTAATTGTAAGTGAAGTTGCCGGAGTTCTCGCTCTGCGAATGACAATTACAGTTGGCTGTGAAATGGCGGAATCTTGTCGGGCCCCGTGACTGATCGCCACCTGGCGGCCGTTAGCGGCGGCTGTTTGTTCGCCGTCATGGCCACCCCGGACCGCAATCATACCGCCGGACCGCCGCATAGGGTTAATAGGGTGTATTACTGTTAGAAAGCGAAGGCTTGAGAGGATGTGGAGGAGGATAGACTGGAGTGGAGTGCAAAACTGCAACTTCTGTTCAGAAATCAAGGAACTTAGTTATATGCGACTGATCTATCCTGAGTGTTATTCATACTGAAGCAGCCGCTTGAACAGAAACCACGACATGTAAAAACATACGAAACGTCAAAAAAGAAAAAAAAAATACGAAATTTTATCTTGCAGACTAGGTAGTTTTTAGTGTGTAAATAGTTCATTCCACAGTTGCTTGCTTTGATCGCTATTTGCTGACGTTTAAGCAACACGTACAGCTACAAAACGAGTTCACAACAAGTGTACAACAGCTTGTGCTAAGCTACATCTTGCAGATAAACCTACGAAATGTAAAAAAATCCGATGAAATTTCACTTTTTAAGATACCTAATACCCGTGTGGGACACCGCGACTGACATAAGGGACTTAATGGGGCATTGTTAATCCGAGTTTTGAACTGCGAAGGTTAGCAGTACTCGAAAAAACCTCCTCAGGTAGATTGTTCCGCAACTTCGGCACCTTAAGAATAAACGAGTACTCACACCATCCAGTCCTCAATGTACGAAGTTCGACAGAGCTTGGATGGGGCGCAAAACCCTGGCATTTCCGCCTGGCAGGCTCAACATGCGACAGCATCATGGTGGAGAGCTCTGAGGAGTAGATCCCGTTGTCATAGCGGTAAAAGAGGCCAAGACCGTCGACCGCTCGTCGGTTCGAGAGGGTCCCGGGACGGTCCGTTACAGAAGTATCATTAATTAGTCGAACAGCCCTCCTCTGAGCAGCATCGAGACAATGTAGTCGGAGCGGCAGAATCCCGAAAATGTGAGCAGTACTCCAGACTAAGTCTTTTCTGGGCCTTATGCGGGGTGAGAAGCTTATGAGGAGAAAATTACTCCTTAGCCCTGAACAGATAACCCAGCTGACGGGATTGGCGAGATGTGTTCGTGCCAAATCAAGTCCTCGGTTATCTGGACCGCGACCAGCCGAAATGAATGGCTCTTTGGTAGAGCTCAGCACCGTATCGAAACCGCATGCGGGCTAGGGCGCTTCTTGTCAGCCAAGGTACAGTACTGCGTTTTGGAAGTATTAAACTGTACCATATTGGTGCGTCCCGAAGCAGTTCTTCTTTCCAGTTCATCAGCAGAGATCGGGTTGTCATACTGTCAGCTGTCTAATCGTAAGCAACGCAAGCCAAGTTAAATGAATTTATACAGAGTTGTATGCGACCTACATGTGTTTATTTTACTAAGACTAATACATACTACTAAACTTAAATAAAATAATAATCGTAGGTGTTTGAGAAATAAACAAAACTCTTCGTCAGCTACAATCGCATGTCACATACGATTTAATAAAGGTACCTAAAAAAAGCAACGCATTGCTTTAAACAAAAACTCACTGACAATTTTTTTTTGTTTGGAGTATAATTTGATGCTACCATTCGAATATAATTATTTATCCAGAGGTTCATCTGGATGTCGATTACGATATGTTTTTAATAAACTGATATTCGAAAAAGAAGATTCACACGAATAGGTTGAACTGAATAACGCTTTCACTTTCAAAGCAACACGACATAAAACTGAATATTTATCTTTACTTACTGGAGGCCAGATACACTTCGTATTTGAGGCTAATGATACTAAAGCTAAATCATTTTGAAAGGCAATCACTTCCATTTCTGTCGCAGCGATGTCTTCGCTAAAATTCTGCGTAACAGAAGTGCAAACTGTGGGATATCAATTTCTGTGAAGGGTGAAACTACAAGTTGCGCCACAATAGCAATTTCGTTGAAATCCTTGAAACGATTTTTGAAGTTGTCCTTCAAGTTAGAGACTATTTCTACATGATACTTACTGTCATATGGTTCTAATGGACTTTGTGATATCTTTTTGAAAGAACAGGGAAATTCCTGGTATCGCCATCGATTAAGTTTTGTTCCCAAAACTCAAGCTCTTTGATAGAAACCTTTATATCAGAAATATCCAAAAAAAAAACAAAATCTCTAAGCCATGTGTCGGCACTCGTCCCCTACTTAACGATCGGACTTCAGAGTGAAGAAATAGTTCCCCGTATTGACAGTCACTTTCGTCGGCCAAGGTTTTAAGTAATCTTCTTTGTAACGCTTGAGCTCTAATCTTGTTCACAATTTTTACTACCAATTTCATAACGTTGTTTAGTTTTAAAAAATGTCCACATAATGCTTGCTGATGGATAATGCAGTGGCAACAGAGAAAGTGCGGAAAACTTTCATCTTTACGACGTAACCCCTCGAGACCCTTATCACGACCCACCATAGATGGAGCGCCATCGGTTGTCAAGCCTTCCATTTTCGATATTGGAATTTTCTCAGAAGAAATAATATTTTTAAAAGAATAAAACAAGTCCTGCTCAGGAGTCTTTTTAGTGCAATAAACTTCAAAATATCTTCTTTAATCGTAAAATCACTAAAAACCATCCTGACGAACACGGCCATCTGAGCGGTGTCAACGACATGTGTGGATTCATCCAGCTGCAGTGAAAAATAAGCACAGTTATCGGAATCACTTTCTTAAAATATCATTGCTCATTACTTCTACTCGTCTCATCACTGTATTGGCAGAAAGTTGCATAGATCTTATAGTATACACTTTCTCGTCTTTATTTCTAAAGTTGGCAAATAATGAATCTGCATGATGATTCAGTTGCAGCCTTACTTTTGCCGATTGTTTTAAAAACCGTGTCACAGTTTTATAGTGCCTCTCGATATTCCCTTTTTAGCAACGGAGAACGATGTATTACATTACATACATACATTTTTACCTTTCAATTCTGTAAAGTAATATTGTTCTTCCCATTCTTAATGGAAATGGTATGTCCTCATCTTCTTACTACTGATCATAATGGTTTTAAATACAGGCCAACTGTAACCCAACAGCTGGACTTTGTGCCGTTCAGTTTGAAACTGAACGCATTGAATTTAAATAATTTACGGAAGCTTCCATGATTTTTATACCTTTTTAAAATATGTTGTGAGCCACCAGAATTGCCTTTGCGAGCTACCGGTAGCCTGGCTTACATGAAAGAAACGCAATGAGCAAAGTGACTTCTTCCTAAGTCCAATATGGCAGCAATTTACTGATTTCGAAGTCACTTCTATAACATGGTTATCAAATGCAGAGTGATGTCATTCTAAATCTAATATGACGGCTACCGCAACATGACGATTTACATATTTTACAGTCACTCCCATTACATGGGTATCAAATAAATTAATAAGCAAACAAAATAACCGTTTTGACAGCAAGATGGAAGAAGGGCCCGCTTTTATTTGAAAACTTGGCATGAAGTAGCTTCCATTTAAGAACATCATATGAATAAAATCTCGTGTCGAAAAACGTTTTTTGTTTTGTTACATTTACATATACTTATTTGAGTGAATGAAAGCTGTTGCCAGCCCCAAAATTTTATTAGTTCTATGCGTTTGCAGAGTGTAAGTATTCATAATTTGGCATGGTAACTAGAATCTCTTATTTATTGTGTATGGTAGCACCCGTAGCGTCATAGTGACACTATAGTGCTGTGTTAAAATTCTATTCTTTTTCCCTTCCACAGGTTCTAGTCTCCTTGGTCTCAAGTCATCTTATTTCTCCCTATGACTGACCCTCGTACGCAGAATATCAATGGACGTTATCCATATTTAATAGGATGTGGTGGCATTTAGACAAAAATATTGTAACTTATGGCCGCGTTATGAATATTTACCGTGGTATGGGGGAATGTGCAGGTCACCCTTTTATAAAAGTAAGGGTTTTTTTCGATGGTAAGAGACGGCGAGGACAATAATTAGGTCAGTTGATTAGATTAATATTTATATACATGAAAACTAAATTACGGAGTGCGGCAAATGAGTTTTGGAGAGGGTTGGGGTCTTCTTTAACGACACGTGAACGAGATATGGATTTCGTACCAGGTGGATTACGGAAAAATATATGGGTTCGGGGGTTAAATCAGGGCCAACGCAGATTGCAGCAGATGTATGTAGTCGAAAAGAATTATACAAAAAAGCTGTATGTCAGTAACGAGACCGCGCAAGTTTATATGGATGTTTTTGTTCTACTAGATTTCGGTTCAAAAACATAAATAACACGAATAACCTATTTAATAATATAAAAAAACCAAAAAGGAGCACAAACATATTTCAATAGTGTTTTTCTTAAGTGTCCCTCCATTTATTTCATTAACTAGTGAAGTCAGCTAATTGCAAGTCGGGATATGCAAAGCAAGGCAAGTAATCTTGCTGAAACTGAGATGAAAAACAGAGGACAATCGTTGGTATGTCCGCAATAAAGGAACAGGGGCATGAATAAAAGGAGAGGTGCCCACAATATTGATCTCAGTTAGGCTTACCTATCTTTCTTCTCCGTGGCGACGTTAGTTGATGCATCGTAAACCGAAACCACAGATGTGCCTGTTGCCTCTCCTTGGTGTCTTGAATTTCACTTTCTCTATCTGTTTTACTTTAGGTTACCCCGTATCCAGATGCGATGAGCATTTATGTTTTCACTTAGGTGTTTTCGATGTATATCCATTTGGGCCTGCTGGAGCCAATAAGCAGAACCATATGTCGGTCAATCTTTATATTTATGCTCCCATTCCTTTATTGCGAACATGCCCACGATTGTCCTTTGTTTTTCAGCCGGGATATGTTAACTTAAAGGTTACAGTTTAAAATTTCAAAACGGCGGCCTAACGCCATCTCGGACTTTTTAAGTTCAACGGTGAGTCGTTTGATAGATCATTTTAAAGCCGCCAATGAGTACCTCACAACTCTGGAACTTAAAGTTCTCGATATCTCAAAATGGTACACTGGTGGATTCAAGCGTTTTTTGTTAATTTACTCCTTTATAACCCGCCAACTAGTCAATGTATGATATATGAGTATGCACCTTTTGAAAGGTTCTATAAGAATATTACATGAAAATTAACGTATGGAACATTCCAAATCAGTTATTTTATTAACGTCTTTTTGTTCCAGATAAGTGCATCTAAGACCAAGAAGTTACTTCTTCAGGTAAGATGAATTGTTTATGTACACCGTATAGAAGACTGCTGATGATATCTGATCTACAAAGCATACACGGGGCTTCAACATGATTACATTAAATGTATCTTAAATCATATACCTGGGTAGTTTTAAAGCATCGAAAAACACATGCAGGTTTCTATTTTGACCACTTTAAACGGATGTTGGACAGTCAAGTTTCTTATATGGTGCCATGACGATAGCAAAACAAAAATAATTATTATTAAATTTAAAATTTAGTGAACTAGACTAACCAGTCTATACCCCAGATAATCTAATGCCAAATTAAACATCTGTCCCATCAACAAACTTATTCCCTGTTTCAAACTTCTTCGACCTACTTTAGCACGCTCCCAATACCTGCGTGTTAGCGTCATCAATAAATCCCATGTGTCAGTTCATGAAGAGCCATAAGTTAAGGTAAAGTGATCCGGGGGCAAAACAAGAAAAGTCCCAGATGAGAAAAGGCAAAACAGTAAAGAGGGCGTTGCAGTGTCCCGCGGGTTCTGACCGAAGTGATGGACTGCGAGTCTTTCCCGTCTTTGTTAGGTATAACTTGTATTGTTCAGCTGGCAAAACTCATTAAACTAAACAACAAATTGCATGTAGACTCAGATACTTTACGGTGCGGTCACTTGGATACAGGTACGCTCAAGTTTATTTCTTTTTAATATTCATTTAATTTCTCGAGTGACTGAAATAAAACTCTATGAATCGACGGTAGACATCAAAGCACTTAATCTGAATGGGCTGATTGGTGTAGACGTCTGGCAATGTCGAACAGAATTCGCTGTGATTAGTTTAAAATTCAAATTGTTCCTAACGTCAAATCGACTAAGTTTCTGCGATTTTCGTTGGTATGCGTCTATTTTTACACTGCACATATTAACCACAAATATTTCTGCCAGACAACCGGTAGGTCTGGCGATCATCGTACATCCAGCGAATGCTTGATGTTCAATGGTGGTTGAGTTATTAGCAAAAAATGGCGTCAGTTAGATTGACTCTCCACTTTCCACTCAACGCCGTTATAAGTTCATTAAGGATTATGTTCGACATAACTTAGGCCCTATCGAAATAATACAGCGCCTATCATGGATACAGGATAGTGGCTATGCTGTGGTTCATTGTCTCAGAGACTAAGCGTAAACCATGGCGAAATTTCCACATTTTGATGCTAGCATATTTATACGCTTTCAACTCCGGTAGTTGTACGCACCTACATATATATTTCATATTTTCATACATATTTCCAAGATCATGAATTTCATCGTACAATGACGAAGTTTCCTATTTTTCAAAAGACACTCAAAGTGATAGTCTAAGTAAAATGAAGTACAGCGCTGAAAATTGTTTTCGAATATTCTGAAAAATAACAAAGTTACGCTAGTCAGAAGTTTATTATTTGGAGAATCGTGTGGTGGGCCGTGCGAGTGAGTGATGATGTCACATGTCGGAAGCTTATCAGCCCAGCTCCACTGCAAGATGCACCTGTCGCGCCGCGCCACACACGCTTCCCCCTACTATTCAAAATGAGTAAAAAGTGAGTCAAACCTTCAACCTACAAATATTTTATTGCGCCTAGGTGTACAAATACTAGTATATCAGCTCCAGATAAGCATTTTTTCTGTGTGCCAAAACAGGGAAGTATTAGAAAGAAGTGGTGCAAGGTAATGTATAGGGACAATAAATTGCCGCTGTCGGAAAAATCAACGTTGTTTTGCTGTGAATCTCATTTTGATGTAAGCAGCTATTTGGGTAATTATTATTAGTCTTAGTGTACGGCCAGACTGAATTGCGGGCGGGCGTGAAGCGGGCGATAAGCGAGCGAGCGATTTTTTGCAAGGCGATTTTTTGGCCATACTAAAAATAGAAAATCGCAGATTAGTTGTGTTCTGTCGCCAGTAAACATGGCGCCCTTATCAAAACTAAAAAGAAATATTTTAATAGACAGTAACCCCTATATGAAGTGGAAATTATTTTTGGAGAAGTCTCGTAGATATGGAATACATCCTATTAATAAAAGGAGAAAAAAATTTGGTGAATTTCACCATCTATACGTCGAATTAAGAGAATACCCGGAAAAATTCTTTGAATACTTAAGAATGTCCATAAGCACATATGATTTTTTATTAAGTAAGGTTAATAGGAGGCTTACGAAAATTACGACAAATTATCGATCTCCTATATCAGCAGAAGAAAGACTGTTGGTAACATTAAGGTAAGAATATATTCTTTTTATATATAATAATGAAATGCAGTTTTTTTTTTCTTTTTCTTAATTTCTAGTTTTTCAAATTCTGTGAAATCAGCCATATGGGGCAATAGACTTTTAAAGAACAGTAAATCGGCGTTATCATTGTCTTTCGCTTCGATTTGCCACATTTCAATTTTTTTAGTTTCTAAACTTAAAAATTCTTTTTTGGTCCTTTTACGTACTTGAGAAATTGAGCTGCTTCTAGATGGTGTTCGTAGCGGCATTGATGAGGGTGAAGAAGATTGTTTTCATTATTTTCAACGGAATGAAGTTCTTCGATTTCATTTGAATCTTCATTGCAAGAAATCAAATTCCCCTGTGTAGGGGAAGGAGTAACAAAATCTTTTAAAAAATACATTTGTTCAAAATACTGCCACTTTGGTCTTACAGGTGGTTCACTGGCTCCCGATCTGGGAATGGGTATTTTTTTCACCTCCTTTCTGAACTGATCTTTTACATTTTTCCACCTGTTTTTGGCATCCGTAACTAAAAAGAATATATAATTTAATACACTATTATAGCTAATTTATGATTTTTATATTTACAAAACTTTTGGTGATATTTATACTTATTTATAGATTTTTTTAGGTATTTGGCAACGGGTTTATCGTTCAGATCGTTAGCATTTGCTTTTCGAATGGGAAAATCTACAGTAAGCAACATAGTTTTCGAAACCTGCCAAATTATTTGGGAAGAACTAGTGGAAGAATTTATGCCAATTCCAACTGAGAACTGTTTAAAGAAAGTTATAGCTGACTACTTTAATCGATGGAAGTTTCCAAATTGTTTCGGTTCGATAGATGGAAAACACTGTCAAATAAGATGCCCACCAAATTCTGGATCTCATTATTTTAATTATCTACACTATTTCTCTGTCGTGCTACAAGCTGTAGCAGATGCGGACAAAAAAATTTTAACCATTGAAGTTCTAGGCTGTGGTACACAAAGTGACGGTGGAACATTTGCAGGATCAACGATATTCAATTTGTTAGAAAGTAATTTGTTTAATGTCCCTCGTCCTACTAATTTACCGAACACAAATATAGAATTGCCACATTTTTTAATAGGTGACGAAGCGTACCCTCTAAAAGCATATTTAATGAGGCCTTATCCGAGACGCGGACTTAATCCCAAAAAATAATACTTTAACAAATGCCTCTCCACTGCTAGAAAATGTATCGAGTGTGCTTTTGGAATACTGTGTGCCAAATGGCGTTTTTTAAATAAAGACATAGAAACACTGCCTGACAAAGCTTGCATACTTATTAAGTGTGCTTGCATCCTGCATAATTTAGTAAGAGACAAAGATGGCGCCAGTGATCTCCACTATCGTCACATATCGGAGCAATATCAGGAAAATAATCAACCTGCCTTTAATGGAAGAAGGAATAATCGAGGGAGTTCCAGAGCAATTGAAATTCGAGAACAACTTGCTGACTACTTATTCCACTTGCCAACTTAATTACATATCTACTATGTATTAAATAATTATGTGATTGTGTGTGTAATTAAATAATTATATACGTTCATATTGATAAGTATAATATAGACCTGTGTTCAAAAAAAGTGTTTCCTTTACCATTACAATTACATGCTTCGGCCACTTCTTGCCATAATTTATCAACAGCATTTTTATTCTTATATAAAGGGTGACTACCTTGCCACAAAGGTCTTCTGGTATGAACTTCAGATATCAGGAGCTCCTTCTGTTCATGTTTATTACTGCTACACATTTTATTTCTTTTTATTTACATCTGTTTTACGAGAAACACAGCAGCAAACTATCCAAAAATCCAAACACGCTCGCTAGAATTTCAAACAAGTTTAATTACTCTTTTATCGCACGCTGCACACTTAATTTTTGCCCGCCCGCTAAGCGTCGGTGTGGCTATTTACACCTGTGCATTAGCTTTTGAAAAAATCGCTCGCCCGCTTCACGCCCGCCCGCAATTCAGTCTGGCCGTACACTTAGTCTATATGAATCGCATGATAAGATAAAGAATCTAAATGATTTAAAGGAGGACAGAAATAGATTTGATTATCGCTTTCATTTCGAGATAATGTGAGTATTTGTATAATGCTCATCTTGTGTCTGTAGGGGGAACACTGTTCAAACTCTGCTTGCGCCGACGCGGCGATGCATATACGTCGGTCAAGTGTGGGCTTAATGTGTAATCATCTGACTTCTATGAATTTTTTATTACTGCCAATAGTAGATAATCTGGTATTTGTCCAGTAGCACTTCACGGAAGTGCATGGTGGTTCTTCGCTTCTTCTCTGCAGCCACTTTAATAGCGCTACACTATGCTTACAGCCACCCTCTTGTGCAGCACAACCACTGCATTGTAGCTTGATTACTGTTTCCTCCTTTTCGTCGCATTCAAAACTGCAATGATACGATTTGCGTTTAACTCTATGTTCGGGCGTAATACTGGCGTTTACAATACAGAGATCCCGTTCTCTTTTTAACTGCACATAACCAATCGCCTCGTCTCCATAGGTGTCTCTTCCAGACCTATAATGACAACAGCCAAATAACAATACCAAAAAATGAATGACGAATCATTGATTCTACTCCTGGTTAACATTTGGACATTGTGAAGTGTTACGAAAGAATTATTAACATGCTGTGAGTCAACACCAGACGGCCATCAAGTCCTAATGGCGCTGGATTAAATTTCAGTTCAAACCGTTGATTTTCTGGTCACTGCCCGATACCGAATTTATTATTAATTTATCAAACGTATTCGCTGGAGTTTGGGTCATCCTAAATTATTTGATGAATGCAGAACATGTTTTCATTTTCTTCTATTTATAAAATTGATAAAGCCAAATAAGATCATCCATAATACCCCGCCACTGATATCGCGCGTCCTACGTAAAGTTGATGACTCAAAATACTTTCATAAGTCCACAGTATGGTATAGTCGCCGGCAAAGGGTTGAAAAAATGGGTTCACGTTATCAGAGTTGTATAGAATAAATCATACTTATTTACTTACTTACGTATTTCCCTACTGACATAAAGTGGATTGTTTGTGAAGAAATTCATTACCATTATTATGTCCACCTTCAAAAGATTTGTGGAATCGGCACCCAAACAAACCTTTTTCCATTTTAATCATTATATACTACCATATAATAGTTTACGCCAAGATTCAAACAATAAATTACGTCTTATCAGCTTGAGCGCTAAGGATGTATGCGATATGCCGCCGTGTCGTCCGACCGCTTCACTACGACACGCGATGTTCCCTCACTTCCTTAAATTTAAAGTTATTGGAATAATTCTTTCAGATTTGTCACAGATACTAGTTATATTATCAGTTGCAAGTAACACAGGCAGTATTTTCCACTGTAGGAAACTTCCTAATTGCCCTTAGAACTCAAAATGATATAGCAACGTTTTAAAAACACGCGTCATACGCACCGCATCTAACGTTGATATACGAAGTCTGATCGAGAGCCTCAGTCCGGTCTTGATCAATATGGGTTGCAGGAGAATGACGAGTGGCGATGTTAGTTGCCGTTGCCGAATACTGTCTGAACGATGTCTCACAGACTGTCAAAGGGGTGGATATAATGGACTAAATGTATAGGCCTGATCTACTGACTTGATCCATCCATTATTTCTATTATAATATACATGTGGATAGCTAACTCTTTTACTCCGAGATGCTAACATATAGGGTGTTCATTTGGAAACCTCCCATCACGAATTTATCGAAAACCACTGATTAAAAGGAAAAATGCCGAGACCCGTCAAAAGATCTATTAAGGGGGACAATTTTTTAACTAAAAATTACTTCACCCCCTTCCATTCTGCCCCCCAGGTTCATCCCCTTAAACAATTTAAAAGACAAGGGGTATCGCATAATAGCTTATTTGAAAGGTTTTTGGAAGTCCTTTATTTCGACATTTGATTTTTTAAATCCATTTCAAGAAACTTAGAAAAATCTTTATTTATCTTAATTTGTTCAGCTAGAAAACAAAAAGACACGAACATACCACTTTTTATTCCAATAAGTGTTCAAAATGTTGCCCGTTATTGGCCAAACAATGATAACGGCGATGTTCAAATTCCTGATGGACATTTTCAAAAACATATTGTGGGATATTAGATATTATGGCAGCTTCCGATGATGCGTTGACAAAGTTCATCCAGACCTTCAGGTTGGGGATTAAACACAATAGATTTCAAATGGCCCTATCGAAAAAAGTCTAATGGTGTCAAATCAGGACATCCAGCACGCCATTCGCCCTCTTCGCCTTATCCATTTATCTGGAAACTCGTTAACTACCCTTGCTGGAAATATATTAGAGCCTCATCAAGTATGTAGCTGGGGCTTCCATCCTTCTTCGATTTGATTGTCAATGGTTTCAGTGGATTGATGGTATTTTCCAACATATCCAAATAGATGTCTCCATTCAAAGTTCTATTAATAAACAATGGCCCAATCACTTTGTTTCATAAAATGTCTGTCCATACATTAATTTTTTGGGAGTGCTGGGTATGTCCTTCAATAAATTAACTTTCACTGTTCCAAGATTGTTACAAAGGTAACTGTCAGCAAATTAAATTATTCTTTCTTTCCTTAGCAACAAATAACAAAATAGGTATAACAATAAATACGGTTCGACCAGAATATCTGTGTTGATGGAAAGAATACGGAAAAACTTCGGGTTCTAATTTGGTTATTGGCACTTCTGATTTTCCGAATTGCTGTTTATGTTTGTAGTTTTAAATTATAAAAGAATTGTAGATTTGTCAAACCCTACCGGGCAACAATGTGAACTCTTATTGAAATAAAAAGTGGTACCTTCGCGTGTCTTTGTTTTCTATCTGAACAAATTAGGATATATAGAGATTTTTTAATTTTCTCGAAAACGAATCGACTGATTTAAAAAAGAGCATACGTCAATATAAAGGACTTCGAAAGACCTTTCATATAAGCTATCACTCGATATCCTTCATCATTTAAAATTTTTAAGGGAAAGAACCTGTGGGCCGAGGGTGAAAGGGGATGGAGTAGTTTTTGGTTAAAAAGTTGTCCCTCTTTTGCCGTGTCTCGGCGTTCTTTCTTTTAATCAGCGATTTCAGATAAGTCCGTGGTGGGAGGTTTTCAAATGAACAACCTGTATGTTCTTTATAAACTGATGATACTGTTGCGTAGGAAGTTCACAATCACACTGCTTCACGCTATTTTTTGAATTACATATTTCCTTATTCTTGTGAATACACATTTTGTAGGCTGTCGTTTAATGTCCATAATTTTCAGTTGTTTTATTAAAAGTACTTTAAAGACTATGGGAAGAGGATCCCTCAAAGGTGTTAGGATTGCCTGAATGTAATTTGTGACCACAATCCGTCCTTCTCATTCATATGAGCCCCAAGCAAATGTGTCAGCATTGCATGCACCAACACTACAGTGACCGCGATTCCTCCTCCTGTTTACATCGGCCACAAATAGCGGCCATCAGCGATCCTTCAAAGGCCACTCGAGTGTCAATCGTCGACGGTCTGGACCACCATTTTGGTTAGACTGTAAACCAAGGACTGGCCAACGACACCGAGGTTGCGTGGACCAAAACCAGATAGCAGGTGACCTCAATTCATCCTCTTCCATGATAAAATTCGTCACTGATCTGTCAAAGGGCACTCAAGTTCTGGAGCACCTTCCCTTTGACGTTAGACCACCCCATACGGCTTGTTTGGCCCGCACTCTTTTTAGTCACCGATCCGATGCCAGCCATTATCATTCTAATTATTTACGCGGGGTGGAGGCAGTGTCGAATAACCAACATAACTAAGTGGCACACGGGCCCCTGTCATGTCTCAGCTTCTGGTGCATGTGCAGCAAACAGTGGCTCATCGAAAAAATGTTAGAAAAGGGTACTTCGAAAGTGGTTTATTTCTTCCTGTTAGGTTGTATGTCGATTTAGGCAACATAACAGGGCAGTTTTGACTTTATTTGAGGAAATACGTGTGGTGATGTCAGAAAACCGGATTCTTAGTTCTCGAGATATCTCTCTTCCACATGGCTTCTTCTGCTGGCGTATGCAGTTAAAAGTATTGGTGGGGGCTTAGCAGTACACTGATTCATTTTACTTATTCTTACTCATGAATTTATCCATCACTCATTATTTCTTATTTTTTTCATGCAATGCTCATTTTTCTCATTACTTTGGGATGTTTCACAATGCAGTGAGCTCCCAGAGGCGCTCAGTAAATCGAAAAATGGTATTTCGTGCATTGCCACTCTTCCCTCTCTCTCTCTCTTTCACTCCATGTGATAAAGGTATTTGTTTTCAGTAGTATCGTTTAAGCATATTCCACTTACCAGCTCTTTAATTTATTCAATTGCCAGTATTAACTTTCAAAAGCGTTGTTTAAGTTAAGCAACCTGCTTTACAATTTATAGAGAAAAGCTTCCTTTCAAAATAAACATTTTTGTACTAATTTTTCTTTGCATGCTACCGATTTTCTCACTTTTTCCAGGCCAGCAAATGTACTGATTAAACATCATCAAAGAAATGGTTTGACTTTGATGTCAGTAGGGTTTTACGGGAAACGTGTTTTGAGAGTACCTGCTTATCGGCCGCTGAGACGTGCCGGGAGTCCCTCGAATGGGGCTGCAGCCCTTTTCAGCCCATCATTTGATAGTTTGTACATAATGACAGCCATAACACAAAACTTGCGCCAAAGTTACTGAAAAAATCGCTGCCAACAGTCTGATTTATAAATGAATGCTCGGATTAAGTGCCGAGTATGCTGGCTTTTATTTGATGACAAGAGGTATTGCCGCAGGTTTTTCAATTACTAAAGAGACAACGCGCAACTACGTGACAGCATAGCATAGAGCTCCACCACCGATAGGGATCCTATTATTCTTTCTGGATAAGATACAAATA